CACTGGCTCTCTGACGGGATTAACGCTGTCCTGGTAAAATCACCTCACCTTTCAGCCATTTGGAGTCGTGTTTGACCGTCCGAAGGGTCGGACTGTCGCCTAGACTGCGGTAGATCACCGCATCGATCGCCAGGAAGTCCGTGACTGTGGCCGAGTATAACTTCCCATCTACAGCAGAAAACAACAGTGTTTAAACACTTCACAATCAATCCAGGAGCTGCACAAATGACTGAAACAAACTCTCAACTACAGATATATACTCTGAGGTTAGCACATAAAGAAGCACATTTATTTATTTACTTACATAAATGTATTAATTATAAACATATATATTTTTAAAGTAGAGTTATATAAAGGTACATGTATTAAGACATACTGGCTTGAGGAAATAGCATATTGATATTAAATACAACCGAGGCGTTTGATAAATTTATCTAAAATGTTCATTTTATGGTTTATATTTTATCCACCAATTTATTATAATATCTCTCATTCTCATTTTGAATTTACATATTTATAATTCATCCCCTGCTGTAAACATGGCAAAAAATACTGTTGGTTGGTTAATAATCAAGCAGATAAACATTAGTTTTAAAATATATATTTTTAAAAAGGCAGATTTACACAAAAATGATCTACAGAGATAAGCTTGTTAGGAAATCGCCTATAAAGATTAAAGTCACATTAATATTAATTATAAACCACGGGCTGCATTTAATTGTTGATGTTATGTACTGTAATATCTAATTATGTAATTAAAAATACAATTATTAATAAATATATTTATAACTCACTACATTCCCGATCCTGTTTTATGTAATTTTTTTGGTAGGCAAATTTTCCTGAATTTACTTTCCTAGTTTTTCTGAAACTTTGCTGAAGGATTTACTTACAAGTCATTTTCACTTAGAAATTGCACAAATAATTACCAAGCAACGTCAAGTAACATTAAATTAAACATGTCATTTTGAAGTAGAAAGACTGAAATAGTATTTTCTTGTTAAAAGGACTCCAAAAATCTGTTTTTAACTTCTAAACAGCATTTTTTTGTTGTGTGTAATGGCATTATTTTAGCCGTACGAGCGCTGGGAAGGCAAAAGTTTCTCTGGCCTGCGACTGGAAGGTTTTACGGCTGCTAATGGAGGAATGAGTCATGCGGGTTTTCCATCTCCAGGGTTATTTTTGCTGCTGTATTTTGGGGTTGGGACTCCCAGAGACGCTCTCTAACCCGCAGCACAATAGTTTCATGTGTTTCCAGAGCGGCCGCACGCGAGTCGCTGCCAGCAAACACTCTTCCCAGAAACAGGGTTAGGACTGTTGCTCCGGCTGCGGCAGGAGTTCCTCGTATTCCCGGCATGCTTCTGACAGACGCTCGTAATGGAAGTGTTTCAGACGTGACGGCGGTGTCTTACCGGCGAACAGGGCCACGTTGGCGTGTTTGGTGTCATACGGGCAGCGCGCCATTCCACTGATCTCATCTCCCACAGCGTCCAGAGTGTCCATCTGCAGGAATGAAGGGAAAGGTCAGAAGCCAGAGGTCAAACCCACCCTAACCTTCAACGTCTGAGACTTTCACACACTTAACAGTGTTATTTTTAAAGCTCTTCCTCTCTCGTTTCGCTGGCTATTTCTATCTTGGCGAATCTGAAGAAGGTCAATCAGGAGTCGAGCGCTCACATGTGACGTATCAGGAACCAAATTAACATTCCTCCCAAAATACACTGAAACAAACACGGATCAGGAATATCACGGTATTCCTGCTTCGCAGCATGACAGCGAGGAAGAGCAAACCAGGAATCTCAGTTTTATAAAATATTTATAAACCTGTGACAGAGTCGATATTAGTGATTATGCCGCACAGTTCACAGGATCAAATACAGCGTTTACTTTGATCTCAAACATTGGCTCTTTCCCTTTCTTTGAACAAAACTAATGCTAGAAAATGCTGGATTCATTATTATTCTTACAACAATAAAACAAACTGTGCAATGACAAACTCAATTATATTAAACAGAAAACTTTTATTAACACAAATCAAATGGATGATGTACAGAGCCACACATGACAAAGATATATTGAGAATTCATTCCTAAGATTCGACTCGTTCCCTCATTTGATTAAATCATGGCCGAGCTGTAATAATTCATTCCCTCATTTTGATTTAATTAGAGTGAGGGAATGATTTAAACACTTTAAAATTAATGCAAAGTCTACACAAACGAACAGAAACATCCTCTCAACTACAGATATGACACGCTGTTCTTTTTAAAAAAAAAAAGACAAAAATACTGTAGATTGGTCAGCAGATACAGAAGCACAAACATTAGCACATTTATTTATTTACATATTTATTAACTTTTATATATTTATTAAATTTTCATTTCATTGTTTATATTTTATCCAGTATAAACCAGTCTGGACCAGTTCAGAGCCAGTATAAACCAG